TCTTACTGCCTTTTTGATTCCACTTTCCATTACCAATACAATCCCGGGATCCCGAGATCTATAGATAATCCCAAAATCCCGGGATTAGAAAAATCGACCGGGATCGAATCCTCTAATGGTACATCACTATCAAAGAATGCTCTCATCCACAATAAGCGCAATCTGTTTTACCCGTGGGATTAAACAGCACTCGTGTGTGTACTGTTTAACATATGACCGTTCGTTTCTTCTAAGCTCCTTTATTTCCTTTTGTTTCCTCATTGCCTCATAACTTCCGGCGTTTGGAATCCTCTAAACCAGTAACGTTGTTGAAGAGTTCCAAACGTCGTATAAAGTCCGTAAGTAGTTTTATAAAAATTTGCAATATTCACGTAAATATTAAAATCAATATATGCATCAGGAACTAATTAATGTAAAAAGGGGTAAATATCTACGCACTTTAAACGAGAAATGCAACACGTTATTGTATCGTGAACATAATTTTACTCACGTGCACAAAACGAAAGTTTAAAACAAGAAAACAAAACCAAAAATGTCTATGAGTCAATGTGATTTTATTACAGCAGGATTAGGAACTTCTGATTGATGTCATATTGGGTTATAGAAATCGTGTATTTTGTAAATTACATTTAGATACATATTACTGAGTAATGAAATATGCATAATATTTTTCTATCTTACCGACCTAATAATAGAAGAAAATATGAAGTGGTGCTCTTCATAAAAGAAACGATTTTTAAAAAAAAAAGGGAAAAAATAACAAAATCATCTGGATTGACAAAAAATAAAAAATACAGAAAGCAATGATCTGGAATCGAAAAAAAGTAAAAAAAAAGTGTGTAAATGGATCTTGACACGAACCACGGCCGTCTGTTTTGGGGCCGCCCGATTACCTACCGAGCTATTATAACATTTATTTTTGCGGCGAAATTTACCGTCATATTCGAATGGTATATTACATTCCCTGAAAACAGGGATAAAAGGACATTTTCTGAAAATGAAACCTAGCTAGATCGATTTTTCACCCCCGAATCTACGCACATACTAAATTTCATAAAAATCGCTGGAGCCGTTTCCGAGATTCCGATTATATATATATATATATATATATATATATATATATATACAAGAATTGCTCGTTTAAAGGATTAAAGCGGTGTGACCTAAGGGATAGTAGAAAGAATGGGTTGCTAGGCAACAGTTCACATTAGGGTTTTACACTCATTAACTAGATAGCCACCCCAGCTCAATGGTAAGTAGTAATGTAGTCTTAGGTGTGTGACTAGCTTAATGAAACCTATTTACTCTTGCCTTGAGAGCCACATTATGATCAGCCGGAAAAATGGCCGAATTGTTATACATTTCTATATAATTTATAAAATACTAGCGGACCCAACAGACGTTCGCGTATACACTTAAATCCGAAAACACCTTATAATAAAAAAAAATAATAATAATAATTGTGAATCTAAACTATTCTCGAATCCATATGAAGACACACAAAAAATTCAGTGACATACACTCGCACAGATATTTTGTGACTATAAACCCTAGAGGAGTTATCTGTTTCATGAGTCTAGTCCCTTCGCTTCACGACTTTTACACCGCAAATTAAAAAATTATTTCGATTCGGAGATTGTTTTTATTATTTTACATATAATTTGACCATTGATTATATACTTTATTTAATCTAAGAATTTGACCTAACTTGTCTTTTAAATAACATTCAAATACCATTTTATCTCTAAAACTTACCGCACGTAAAATTAACACCAAAGTATATTATAACTTAATACGCGGATCAAATGATTATCTTATATGCCTTAAATATGTGCAAGTGTGCGGGATGGATGCTGCATCCATCAACCTACCATATACTTTATTATTTGTATAAATTATTATTTATACTCAGAACAGTTTTAAAGACAATTTGAATCCCTACATTTTTTGTTTGAAATATTTTCTCATATCCTTTTATATTTTTGAGGTATTTTCAAAAACGAAATTTTCGGGGCGGTTTTTAATTGTTTTCTATGTTCCAAAATACATGCTTGATATACATATACATGCCTTTTAGATGGTAGTTTAACTCGACATTTTTTTGGCCTATTAATACCGATCTGGGTTGTGGATTCGATTACCTAACTAAGCTTAAAGAAGACAAACGATCCCAAGCAACCCTCCATTGCCAACTCACAGGGGTGGATAATCCTAAAATCTGAACCGCTCGGGCGTTCGACTTGCCAAGCATAAAAAGCGCTTTAAAGTATCTAACAATACAAAAACTCAAAACAGAAGTCCTTTAAACATACGAAACCATTGCATCGTTAGTGTCTGCCTGCCTGAGCGAGCATCCATAAGCGTATATGAGTAGCACATAGAGGGACAAGTTATAAAGTGGCGACGATCGGCGAAATGTGCAAACAGTGGGGCTTAACGCTAACGATCGCATTACTTATGTTCATGCGATTCTCGTAATGAGAGCGAGTAAAGCACTCCTCCGCTGCGGTTTCTCGGCCATTGTTAGCTAGGGGTGGGGTTCGAATCCCACCCCTAGGGACCCTACTACCTTTTGATGTGAGACCATGCGGTTGGCGCGATTTAGAACAACATGCCTAGCAGCAGGTAGCTCCCGTTTGTTGATTTCGCGAAAGGGATTTCATTGTTTGCTTTATATTACGTCACGACGCAGTAATTAATTATTAACGATCCGATTGGCATAGTGGATAGTGAATCACTCGCGTCAGAGGTGTGGGTTCGATTTCCACTACTGTTAAAATAGCCATAGTGTTCTTCTATTGTCTGAATTTTTACATGTATCTCTAAATGTATATTATACGTATAATTACAAAAGAAAAGGGAGATAAGTGTGTCTATAACATTTAACTCAGAACCCATATTACACTATTTGCTCGTTCAGTGATTAGTACGTGGTTTCTAAGAAGCTTTTATCAAATAAAAAAAAATCGGTTAAAATTAAAATTGTTCAAAGAAAAAAAATAGTGGATCTTAGCACATCAAAGGCAAGTAGCTCATAAGAGTCTGATTTGGAAGTAACTCAATATCTAACCCGGGTACGTAAGTAGGTAAACTGGGGAGAAATCATTTATAAAATGAGATATTGCTTTGAATAAAAAAAGTACTACACCTAAGTGTCAACATCAGCCTTGCTAGCCTTCCGTTATGCATCGCAAATATACATATTGGAACAAATTTCCATCCCATTACAGTTTTACGCCACAGGTCGCATTAAAGCGCACGAAACCACTGTGTAAAGAATGTTTTATTGAATAGACAAGGAAATAGTAAAGCTAGCCAAGATTTTAAAAGTATTCATAATTTTGAAAACCTTAACCAGAGAATCTTAACAACGTCGCTGTGAGGATTAGAACCTGCATTCTCCTCGCGACAATGAGATAAAAGGGATATTTTTAACACCAATGAAAATCCCACATATTTTGTTTTTACTACACTTAAGCAGTGCTTGGTGCCATCTAGTGTTTCTAATACAGAAAACAACCACTTTTTTTTTACATATTACAATAAAATATTCTTCTCCACGGCAGTGTGCGAAGAACACCCGTTGCATTTCCACAACATTTATAGCTTTGGCGAAAATCCATGTTTGGTACCAAAACGCGTGCTTGTTTTCCTATCGTGAAAATGTATACAAAAACCTCGTCAGAAGCGTATTTCGTTGCCAAAAAGTATTGTGATTCAAACATCTCTAATTATAACCGAAGAAAACGATAAGGAAGAAGAAAAAGAAACGTTTATTAACAGTTTATAAACAGAGAGGTGTTTGTTAATATGCATAGAATCTTTAACCCCAATGAGCCTGCTTTGGCTAAGTAATAAAGCACAATTTTTTGTAAACAACTTTTACTTCAGCAGATTAACAAAATGCTACATGTTTATAATCTAAAGGTCTATAACGTGGGGAGATTCGATATCGAGTAAGCCTTTATCACCACAAAACACCACCATTAATGTTTAACCTAGAGTTTTTTCAAGAAACATCATTGACTCCTTCACTGTCCGCATACACGCAGCGTGCAAGTCTTTAGAAATTACTGCGAAGACTTGCTTTCAGTAAAAACACCTACAAAAAGAGGTCATTTCAAACACCGACGGTCCTTTCATGGTGTGAACCGTCTAAATTTGCCGTTGGTCCATTTCAGTAGAGGCGTTTCGTCAAACAAAAACTTACGTATTCACATAACTTTTTAAAGTAGGGTGGCAATCAAGTGGTTGACCCGATGCTTACCTGTCCGTGGACATCAGAAGTTCTTAGGGTTTGCAGGCTTATTTAAGGGCCGTTATACAGGGATTTATCCCATGAATTGGATGAAATGTTAAACAATACTTCTTCAAGATCTTTTGTAATATCATACATTTATATACCCGGTGGGGCCGCCCCATTCATGAACCAAATTCAGAAAAATTATACCATTCCACAATCGATACATGGAATTTTTCTTAGAATTATTATAAACTATTCTTAAAAATTGTTATAAAACTATAATCTTGAGGTTCCCTCCTCAAGATTATTTCCTCAAGCTTCTCTTGAAATGTTGCCACTTTTCTGAAAATTTACATTCACTATGGCCTTTTAATTTGTATTTTTTCATATCTTAATAGCATTTAAGTGTCATATTATCGTTATTGTCTATATTCCATCAAAATAATCTTTGTACCCTGCTAAAATATTAGCTACCTTTTTACTTACTATTAACTGAAATAAGGAATATATACCAACTAAACAAGTACCTCATTAAATTACCTATGTGATACATCTTGCCATCTCCGAATTTGTTATGATTTGTTTTGTACTATGCCCTATAAACAGGGTCCATAAAGAACAATTTTACTAATTACCCTAAAACCTTTTGTTACTTAATGGATGTGCAATAAATAAATAAATAAACGATTTCTGAATCAGCTGTATTCTACCTTGTCACGTATATTCCTACTTATGTTGACATTTCCCGTTTTACCAGATGAAGTACGATAGACAGAAGACCACGGAGGCCCTGCCGCTGTCTTCCAACTCCGGCCTGATCATCAGAGATTCCAGGTTCTCGATGAGGTTCGACGCCGCATCTGCCACTTACACACTATCGGTAAGCAATAATTCAACTCAACAATCTTTCATCTTAATAAGAAGCTTCTAGGTATCACCATCATTTTAACTTGTTTGAGTCCACTGCTGAATATAGGCCCTCCCCCTCAAACTAACACGAAGCACGATCCTGAGATACATCGACTTCCCGCCCACTTGCACAGGTCGTCACTCTATCTAGTAGGGGATCCTATCTTCCCAACGCTTATCGGTTCTACGAGCTATATGGCCGGCACATCGCCACTACAACTTACTAACGTTCTGAGCTACGTCGGTTACCTTTGTTCTACTGCGGATGTCTTCGATGCAAACTCTATCACACAGAGAAATACCGGGCAAAGCCCGCTCCATAGCTCGCTGAGTGACTTTGAGCTTCAAGTGAAGGACAACGTCTCAGGTGTATCACGACTCAAGTTTCTAGGTATTTTTTATTTGCCCTAAACATGACCTTGCGGCCACTCTATACTACTACTAATTCCAACATTCTTATCGGAACTCATAATAAATCATAAATAAAATAAATAAATCAAACCGATTGGGCTGAATTATAATTATTTTAGTCACATAATTTGTGTAACCGTCTCGAACATATCGAGTTCCTATTTTTCATTACAATAGTGAACTTTGTCTAAAGACAACACACTAAGGCATGTTCTGTCGACACCTATCGTGTTCCATTAGTAAAAAGTAACCTTACCACAAAGTAGATACGTGGTTAACATCTCCGCTGGCTACGAAGAATTTAGATGTATCTATTTATTATCTATAGATGTATCGAATAAATCTGATGCATTTACGAGATACATGCATTTTGAAAAATCTCACGTGAGATTAGGGAAAGGATGTAGAGCCAAATCTCACGAAATCTCACCATTAGGTAAAAAATTTCTAAAATAACCTCACGTGATTAATAAAGACTTGAGCCGCCTCCCCTCCCTCCATATCACAGCCATAGTCGGGTCTTCAATAAACCGGATTGTCGAAATAAACCGAACTGCTGTACAACACTTACGGTGTTGATCACTCTTTATGTACTCCGGACGCAGATGGAAAAGAACTCTTCCTGGCCAAATAAGAGATGACAGGATGGATCAATTCGAGTTTTTTCTTTTCACAGATAAAGGACATCCAGGAGACAGACGCCGGCTGGTACCAGTGCCAGGTGCTGCTCTCAGTCAGCAACAAGATCACCGCCGAAGTGGAGCTGCAGGTTCGGAGGCCGCCCATCATCTCGGACAACTCCACCCGCTCCCTAGTAGCCAGCGAAGGGGAGAGTAAGTCAGACACAATTATCATTTATCAGCTATTCCACTAGGCGCTGAGTTGCGATACAGACAGACGCCTAGTCGTTACTTAAGAAAAATGTTATGGAATGTAAAGAAAACTGTTAAACTACTGTAAACAGGAAAGATATTGTTAAAAGTGAGTCAGACACAATCATTATTGCTTGCTGCTTGTTTGTTATCCATCTAGGCGCTAAGTTGCTAGTCATTACTAAAGAAAAATTGTATGGAATGTAAAGAAAACTATAAATTTACTAGTGTAATTATGAAAGATATTTTTTAGATGTTAAAAGAACGGCCTGATCTATGTGAGATCTCTGTCAGGCAATCAAGTTCTTTTATTGATGTAAACTCAACTTAGCAACAAACCGGTGGTAGTAGAATTTTGGCAATCAATAAGTAAGTGTAATGCTTCTATATTGAATAAAAATATTTGCATTTGAATTTTGCAAGATACATAAAGAAATCATATTCCGTCAAATAAAGGTGATAAGGTAAGAAGTAAACAAGTGTGTATGTGTACTTGAAAGTGCTTGTGTATGTATTTATGGATGGGGGAGGGGCTATAGTAAAAGTAAAGTAAACTGATGACTCTGTGTTCTTTCCCAAGGAGGGTTGAGCCAGGCATGCCGGTCATAAAACCGCTTACAACATGATTCACATGTAGTGCCGACCCCCCTCTAGTTGGGATAAAGGCAGGAAGAAGATGATGATTATAAACGAATGTATGTGTAATATGTAATATTTTTCCATTGTATACAGGTGCACAGATGGAATGCTATGCCGGTGGTTTCCCGCCCCCGAAGATATCCTGGCGCAGGGAGAACAACGCCATCCTGCCAACCGGTGGCTCCATTTACAGGTACAAATAATGAACTATCTTTCGGACACACTATAAACATCAGTTTATAATTGAATCGCCCACTCAGCTCTTGCAACATTCTAATGCAATCATGACTAATATAATAACACGGTATTTTAATAGCATAATTGAAACTAAATTGAATTAGTAAAGACAATGAACGTGAATGTCAAATTAGGGTAGCAAACACACATAACATAACAATAACTAATAGAAATGATTGGAAGAGTGATATTAATGAAACTTATTTTACGGATTTATCGCGTTTATTTTTAATTTTATTTCCCGACGTTTCGAACCCTTTACAGCGTTCATAGCCCCAGTCTGTCCCGTGACCAAAAATAAACGCAATAAATCCGTAAAATTAGTTACATTTATAATATGTAATCGCGTCAATACAAGAAATTATCAGAGTGATATTAAATCTAAAAATGTAAACCACTGTGATTTGAACCTTGGCATCTGAAAAACTATGTGCCAACTGAACAATAAAACAACATGAAATCGTAATATTAATACCTAAATACCTGCACATCTTCCAGGGGTAACATTCTGAAGCTGAACTCCGTGCACAAGGAAGATCGCGGCACATACTACTGCGTGGCTGAGAACGGAGTGGCCAAGGGAGCCCGTAGGAACATCAACCTTGAAGTGGAGTTCGCCCCCGTCGTCAGCGTGCCACGTCCGCGTCTCGGACAGGTACAACGGCTCCTATAGACTTAAAACTCCTCTTAGTTATGTGCTCCTGGTACAACCTATGACTCTCATTCGAGTATGATATTTGATTTTTTTATGTGTAACATTGGCAAGCGTTTCACCTGATGCTAATTCAACAATTCAAGTTGAAAATTCAAATGTCTTTATTCAACATGGGAGCATTACACTCACTAATTGATAGTCAAAATACTACCACCGGTACAGAAAAGAAAGCCACTATACTGAGAAGAACCGGCGAAAGAAACTCGCGGATATTTTTTTTCTTTCATTTTTTGACATACACGGTGTGACATCAATATGTTAAAGGTTGAACATATAAAAAGTGGTTAAGTTCTGAAGTGTTGTGTGTTGCCAGCCTATAAAAAGTTTGGCCCCACGCTCCTTTGTTCTAAGGTTGAATGAGAAGGATGTGCCTTATAGCTTAAAAATATTTAAATTATATGTGTACTACAATTTCCTTGATCATTCCTTTGGTAGTTTTGTTAGAGTTAAATTATGAAAACCATTTTATGTAAAAAAAAATCTTGCATTTTTGATAACTATAATGAGCAATTACAAGGGCTGCCCTTGGTTATGTATTCATGGTGCTCCAATAAGTGGCTTATTGCTCACAAGCTTTGCTTATACTGATATGACAGTGTAGTTTATTTATTACATCTAGTGGCTATGGCTTCCGATAGTTATATTTCAAGCCTTGTTGTGGTGGTTGTTTAGCAAATAGTAAAAATTGTGAAGTCACAAGATCATGTTATTTAAACAATAATCACTTCATATTAACTTTGAATAAAACAAAAGTCGTCTAAGCCTTGAAAACATAAGCTCAACTTATTTTTATATTTTTAGGCCCTGCAATACGACATGGATCTGGAGTGCCATGTTGAAGCCTACCCACCTCCTGCAATCTCTTGGTTGAAGGATGAAGTTCAGCTGTCAAACAACCAGCACTACAGGTGAGCTAGCAGTTTAAGCTGTTATAACATATCCACTTCATATGTCATATTCATGTGTATTTAATGTCATTATTTTAATAATATGTTAAATTGGAAAAGCAGTTCATATGAGATTGTAAATTATAATAGTATTTTTTGTTAACCTTACACTTTACACCATTGGCTTATCAATTGAGAATACTAAAATGTTAATTAAAATAACAAAAAGAGCTGACCTTATAAGCATTGTGCAGGTTCGATCTCCACTACTGGAAAAATATTGTGTAATGAATATAGTGTTTTTCTAGTGTCTGGATGTTTGTATATAACAATAATGGAATAGTATTTTTAAGTATGTTATCAGTTACCTAGAATCCATAGTACGAGCTTCGTTTAGTTTGGGACTAGATGACGTGTAAAAAATATGTCGTAACATGTTTATTATTTAATAATAATTAACATGTTACGACATATATCACGCGCTTTTCGCAGGATATCGCATTTCGCGACCGCCGACGAATTCACCGACACCACTCTGCGGGTCATCACCATCGAGAAGCGACAGTACGGGCTGTTCACCTGCAAGGCGCAGAACAAACTCGGCACCGACGAGGGACAAGTCGAGCTATTCGGTGGGTAACGCCGACCAATGGTCTGAACTTAAAGGAGGTCCGAACACAGCTGTGTTCAGACCTCCTTTAAGTTTCAGAAGAGCCCTACTTTAAGTTCTCAGTAGTTTAAATTCAATAACCTGTGCCGGCAATTTCGTAGTTGGCTCATTTGCCAAATGCTTTGTACATCTGAACTATTTTAAAGACTGAAAATATTGTGCTTACTAAATCGCAGTAAAACAGTACATAATACTATAATGCTAAGTAATATTGCACTGATTGGAAACCCCGAAGTTTCTAAGTTAGTAAGTATATTACTTGAATTTCATGGATTTATTTGACTAAGATGTTCTTATCTTAGTCATCATCACTCATCAAAATAATATCTCATCCCTGGACCCGTTTCGTTCTCGAAACGAGTCCAGCGATGAGATATTATTTTTTATAGAAGGAAAATATTAAGAAAACTCAAACTACCCACCAAAATATTTTAATTTATTAAAGGAGTTGGGAGAATGACGTTTGTGTAATTTTCTTGTGTTAAATTTTATTTTTGTTATCGCTGCGCAGTCATACCGCTTGGCCTGCGCCGATCCCGTCAAGCTTGACGCTTACGTGCGTAGGCGCGTAGTTAGTTATACGGCATGTTGTCGTCGCTGACATTTATAAATGTGTAGATAACGGAAGCATCTTCGATTTATCAACCTTCGCCGCTTTTTTGTTTCATAAACTTAGCACGTTTTAAATGCTGGCGACGATATGTTTTACGCTTGCGCGTGCGCATGTGGGGCGGCACGTTTGATCGCATGCTCTGTCGGTGTAGAAACGATAATACCGGTGTGCCCGCCCGCGTGCGGACAGGCGCGCTACGGCAGCAGCCACGCCCACCGCGCAGGCCCCGCCCCCGCCCTGCTGCTCCTCGCCGGCTACGGCTACGCGCACGCAAGGTAAGTGCTCGCTACGCGTAGACGCTACGCTGTCGTAGCAGTTGGTCACAGTGTATTGACGAACTGTTGGACAGTTCCCAGTTATTCTTCTTTTTTAAGGGATAGCTACGATTAGACGCAACACATGTGTAGCTGTTGATCTCAACCTCGTAACAAACCATTGGATAGCTCCCCGTTATACTTCTTTATTTGTACGGCCGTACATGGCCCTTAATAAGGACAAGCGTCCGGACCCGGTACAATTATTTGTCCTGTCTGTAACTTACAACACGGGACAACGAAGATAGTAGCTTAGCAATTGCTTATACCAAGCCACCAAAAAATCAAGAGAAAAAAGAAATGTAATCTCTGCCCAGCCCTCTCACAATACATTTAATCTAAAAGGGCCAACTAAATTATTTCCATCCCAGTGGACAGTAAGCGGTAATGTAGTAAACAAGTTATAAGGTATAAAGATATTTTAATATAAACTAAACATGTTTCAGCTTGAAAATATTTTATTTGCTTGATTTTGTGAGAGAAAGCAAACCACGTCCAATCACGCAATTATCATTATCGTTTAATTATTAAGTTGTAGACCATGGGCGTGTCATGCGTGTTGGAAGGCATGAATTCTTTTAAATCATACTAAGGCGAGGTTTTTTTTTGTGCCGCATGGTTTTATTGTAAACTTTAAGTACTTTTTAGCTATGTTATTAGTCAATTTGCTGAGTAGTTTTGGAGTTCAATGATTTCTATTAGTGAAAAAATTCAATAGACATTATATATTTACTTTTTGTACTTATAACTCTGACATAGCAATGTACAAAAACTTATCTACTAATATAATTCAATAACTAAAATTTTCATCTCAATGTGCTATTTTATAAGTAATGTATATACAATAAATACCGACCTAAGTACCTTTTTCGAAAACTTGATTGGTTGTCAACTGATCGATTTAGAGCAACTAAAAAGATGATACTTAGGATCTCAAAACACCGCTCAGCTTCCTTCAGAGGAAGTTTTAAGTACGCCGCGTCTAAATGCTGGAACAATATACCACCGCCTATAAGGGTTATAAAAAATTTATAACCCTTAAATAAGTAATTTTAAACTCAAATTGAAACAACATCTTTTGTCTTTCCAAAAATGCTTACCAGCTTCTAGACGAGTATTGCCCACATACTTAACGCAAAAATGTTTAATGCGTACCTAATAGCTCCCGTGGCACTAATATAGTTGTATTTATGTGTATATGTAGTTCTTTTGTTTGTTTGTCTTTTTTTTTAATCAATATTATTGCTAATAATTTTTACTTGCATTGTTTTCTTTCTGTCGGTCAATATTTGCCAGAAATTCTAAGTGTTGCACAATTTATTTTTATTATTATTTAATTTTTATTTTTTAATTTTAGTATTTTTTTTTTTGGTAATATGTTCACAAGTTTGCGCATCTACCCGCACATTCCTCACATTCCTAGCATCGAAATTGCTCCACCAGCATTGCGGAACTCCGTATTTTTTTCTGAGTGGAGACCATTTTTGACATAATCTCACAGCACAATTCATTCCTTATTACATATACACTATGCATTTTTTTCCTTCAAAGGTTACTATGTCTTTTTTGTTTCTTTATTAATAATTTTTATATTTGTAACTTTGTGTACTTATTTTTTTTCCTTTTTTTAACTTGCTTTTTTTGTTGAAACAATGTTATGTTTTATTTATTATTTGTTATGTTCATGTAATTAATTTTTTGAATTTTTTGTGCTGTTTGTTGCTTGTCAAAATAAAGTTCATGTCTATGTCTAAATAGAATTTAAGAGGAAGAATGTTTATGAACTTTCACCATGTGCACATGCATAGGAGTACACCGCCAAACTTCACAACTTTTCCACAGAAACCTCAACGCCGGACATTAATTACCCAGGCCTACGCCCGGATCCGCTCATCTACGGGTACTCGAGCAACCTAGCTGCTCGACATATCACAGCCATATCCGACATGGTGACACTAATTGTAATATTCAACATCATCTATATATAAGGAGTTTACATTTCATGTTCAAAAATCAAGTCCTAAAGTGTCCAAAATTATCATCAAGTGTAATAAAAATGGCAGCTAGGCTTATTGATAGTGAAAACTTTAATGATACTGACTGTTAATACTAAATCTTATCCTTTTCCAATATTTTCTTATTCATACCCTATATAATATGAGTGCTCTGCAAGCCATGTCAAAACTGTGTGACTAATGTAATACAACATTTGTTATCTATGTATTTTGTGTCACCACCCAGTTTCTATTTGTTTTATTTTTATTCAAGACCTGTTTAAACAGCCACACTATTGAGAATCTTATGCATTAAAGTACAATAAACAAATTAACAAAAGTTTTAAACTTTATACAATATAATGAAGGAGAAAAAAAATTTAATGGATTTTATATAAACTTATTAAATAGATTTATATATATCAGAAACCCATCTATTTGATGTAGACATTGATTATGAAGTATGAGAAGTAGCGACTAATGAACACATATGTTTAGGACAGTCATCAATTTATATACTATTATAATTTAGATACTATGTATAATAAGTGAATTTTTACAGACATTTCTTTTATAATTACAGACAGTGTAGATTGTTGTGCTTTTTTAATTTTTACTTATAATTACAAATGCAATGCAGGTTACCGAGAGACAAATTATCTACTACACACAAAAAGAAGCTTTAATATATGCAGAGTTACTAATGAAATTGGAACTCACAATAATTTTTAGTGGGTGAAGAATTCATTTAATAATTTGAAAATATTTGTTAAATCATTTATTCATTTGCTTACATGCTTTTACATACATATTTAATAAAATTTAATCATGGTATTGTTGAAGTGAGAAGCATTTGAAGTTATAATTTAAAATGTGACATGAAATTATGCAGCTACATAACATTAACATTCATAAGATTGCAGTCATTGCAGTAAGTGTTTTATTTTTTGAATGTAAGGTAAGTGAACTATGTCTAAAATCAATTTTTATTTCTTACTTTCACAAGCCTCATTATTGGCGTTTTTTTTTTCAACACTCTCAATGTATCTTAAAAGGCTGATTTTCTTATGATTTTTATAAAATTTATAGTGTAAGTAGAAAAATATGAAACGTAATCTTATAGCAAAAAAATAAAAATTGAATCAATGACATTATTATTACACTGAGCTCTGACATAATCAATTATATTGAGCTCTGATACAATCTAATTTGTGAAAAAAAAAATATTACAATGATTTCAATATTGAGTGCACAATATAAACATTTTTATTGTGACTTATAATTTTTAATATTAAAATTTTTTTTAATTCTTCATACTAGCAAAGAAGGCCTAAATATGATTATGATTTGTGTGAAACAGGTCGGGTAGTAAGTCCCAACAATCACTGCAACCTGGAACATCTATTGTAATTAAGGTCTAAGTAAGGGGTTCAAAAATTGCTAATTTGAATGACACACCTTTAAGTAATAGACCCCATATATTGATATAGTTCGAATTTTTATACTTTAACGATTTTTTGATGATTTTATCAACAATATAAATGTAAAGCTGTTTTACTTAATAAAGATAAAATAGATGTGTTCAAAGTAGTGCTAAAGTAAAAGAAAACAAAAATACTGATTGAATGAAATCACTTCTGGCAAAAATTTTTGAAGTTATTAAAGGATAATTATTATACTTCAAATATAACTATGGGGAAGAAAGGATATTAGTACTCAAAATTGTTCATTACCAACTTTTGAAATGTCACTGCCTATAGAAATCCAATTATATTATAAAAAAAATTGAAATATGATTGTTGTAATTTAAACATTGACATGACATGATTTTAGCTTCATATTTGACAAACATTTTGTTTCATCATCATCATCATCGTTTCAGCCTGTTTGAGTCCACTGCTGAACATAGGCCTCCCCCATAGACTGCCATGAAGTACGATCCTGAGCCACATCCATCCAACATTTTGTTTATATTAATCAAATTCATTTATTCATCTACATTGAGGTTCCTCTAAAGGAGAAGAAACAGGCGAAAGAAACTCTGTAGGTATCCTCTGTTTTGGTATTTTTTCTTTCTTAACAAAATTAAAATATTATAACTGTTTACTCTTTTTTTTTCTTTTAGAAATAGCTTCAGCTCATTCCCAGGGGCTATTGTCATTAATGTATTCATTTATATTATAATAACCCTTTTTTTAAAGTTTTTTTTTATAATAAATTCCTTAAATCTGTTGATAGGATTGAAATAAGCTGAACCATTTTTATAGATATATAAAGAACGATACTAAATAAACAGTCGAACCAGTGTGGATTTATTCAAGTATGTAAAGGTTTTCAAGTTAATTTTAAAACGCTTTGTGTGTGTTGCTTTAATATAACTATTAAAAGCCAATGTATTTACCAATTAGTGTTTAGTGTAAACTTATACATCTGAGGTCAAATACCCCACCTTCTAACCACCGCTAAGGTCTTGCCGTGTACTTATTTTCCTTTAAAGTAGTTTTCAGAACTTTCTACAGTTCAGTGCATATACAGCGTGTCCTTACCACCGCGACAATAAATGAACACACATATAGAGGATAACTTTTTAAAATTGTATTAAACATTTACATTCTTTAAACATCAATATTTACCGAGTTATTAAATTTTCCAAAACAAACAATTTTAGAACACCCTTACGTATAAAACTGTAACGTAAAGGTCACAAAGCATATGAATGAATTTAAAAGAGACAAAATATACTATTAGAAGGAGAGGCTTGTAATGCGACGCTGTGGCGCGAGTTATATAGGATGTTACAAATTTTGTTTCTTTTTTACTTAATTAGTTTGTTTGAAAAATATTTTTTTTAATTGTGAATTTTGTTTAACGTAATATTTTTTTATGATTATTGGCAAGTAGCGTTAGACGTGTGTTCATTTATTGTCGCGATGGTAACGACACGCTGTATACGATAATAAAACATGTACTAGTATAGAGAACCTCTATTGATCTGTAGATAGATTTTATAATATCACAACCAAGTAATTAATTACATTGAATGGCTATAGATTGGTGGGGTAATTACATTGTAATAAATAGAATTACCTCTTATTTAATTAATATCACCAAATAATTAGGACTTCTAGTGTGAATAATTTGTAAGAAACCAACAAATATTTGATCTAGTTTAAGAAAAAACTGTCGTTTATTGTAAAATTTTTGAATAAAAATGAAACACTAGCAGCATGCAAATAAAAAAGTAATTTTATACTACATATATGCAAATTTTTATACCAATTAAAATAAGCTATAGTATTAATATAGTAACAAGTGGGTAAATTTCTTTTAAATTACATTCCAATAGATGATCTAAATATTTTATTAATATTTTTTATTATTACAATCAATTTATATTCTTAATGTATTGAGTGATTTTTACCATTGATTTTGACTGAAATATTCCATCCATTTTTTTTTCCATTGATAAATTTGTATTTTTAGATTTATCAAGCTCTATTTTATGTATACTTTTGATAGTTATGAAATAAGTTTACATTTCACACATGTCACCAATTTTTTATGACCGTCTTTAATATAATATTAATGTAATAATTTTTATTTTGTAACATTTTACTGTCACATGTGTTGCTTTTATGATGTAGCCGAATCTCACAATTTATGTATATTTTTTTTAATTCCAATTGTTCATGTAGATTTTGTTTTAATAAAAAGTGTAAAAGAGCAATGTGTTTTAATTATCATTAATTTAATCCTAATATATCAGTCTTTGGTAATTGGCAGAATAATGTTCAATAAACAAGTTGCAGAATTATGTTATAATATCATCGAAAGTAGGATGCAGATAACAATTATTATTGAAGCTCCTAATTATTATAGCATAGAATTTTACTACAAATGTCACATGTTTAGAATTGAAAATTGTATTTAATGAAACCATGTTTTTGAGATGACATTGTTTATTTCTTTATAATTTTTAATAGAATCTATATTGTAATATCTATAAGTATCTAAAACAGAAAATATGTTGATACGAAATTTCTTTGTTCTGGTTAAAGCAACAATACCTTTTTTGCATACAATATCAGAGGTGAATAGAGAATTAAAACTGTTGAATACATAAAAATATGCAACATTCAGATACATATGCTGTAGGTCAAATTTCTTCACTTTATAAACATTGCGATATAGATACTACCTTCAGTGTGGATTACCTTCAAAATATTCGACTAATGACATTTTCTTTCACTGAATTTAAATTGAAGCAATTACACCAGTGATGGTGTCCTAATTTGAACTTATGAATTTATTACCAAAATTAATTAAAATCAATGGTTACAAAAAACTTTTCAAAAGATTTACAAAGTCATCCCAGAGGCAAAATCCATTTTCATCAGCCTCACAACTTTCTAATTCTAATAGTGTAAATTTGGGCGGATCATCTAAGGTCAAATTTAATCCATTTCTTAATTGTTCCATTGACTGGTATATATAGTTAACTTTTAACAAATTTTTACTATTTTCTTCATCAAACCACTTTTGGAATACTATCTTACCTCCGACTGGACTTTTTTCATATTGTTTATCAAGATTATATGCCTTGAAATCCATGCTACTAAGAATGGTAAGAACGTTGGCATCATGCCCCATGATCAATGTTATTTTCGGTGTTTCATCTTTGTTTAAAAATATTTCTGACATGTATTTAATCAGTGGTTCTGCAATGTCTTTTGCTACAAGTGAGGTGTTAAAAATAACATCATGATAACCTTTACTTATTTCCATTATTAGCTGCCAGTGTTTTTCATCTTTAATTAAATCCCAAGCTACTTCTTTCATTGGAAATCCTTCATAGTATGACATTACAAAGGCATCAATAACTGACTTTCCAATCTTTAAAGGCCCTGATATATTTGGTTTGTAGCCAACAGCAAAATTAATACTATTATTATTTAAACATAAATCACATTCATGTTCGCTCTTGCATAGCTCAGAGTCTCTATAATCCAATATGTTTTCCACAAAAACTAAAGAATTATTAAGAGACAATTTTTTTAGTCTATTAGTCATCTGTTTCAGAGCACTGATTTGAAAATCTTTTGTTGTATTATGTATAACAGGATTAAACACGGGGTCTGACTGTTCTTTGCAATGGACCACAATGTTGCAATTAGGAAAAGCTTTTTTAACAAAAGCATCAGCAGAAGCTTTTGTCCTCTGCTTTGCATTAGCATAAGCATAAAAGATGTCTTCTGTTGGACAAATGCCATCCAATAGACCTTCATTACGTAACCAAGCAGAAAAATAACTGCCCATAAGTCCTTCTAAATAAACACCTTTTGCTGTTAAATAACCACTTTTCTCTTTCCAGCAGGGCCAAGGTTTAGGGGATAATTTGTCCAAGTTTTTAGATAATGGTGTACGCACATTATGTCTACTTAAAATAACAACTTGTTTTAATAATAGTTTGGCATCCACAGTGCTCAAAGCTAAAGCACAAAAGATACTAACAGAACTCACAAACATAATTAAATAGCTACAGAAATTGTAGACGGATAACGCAATTAGTTTTTAAAGTATCAATGTACCTCCACACCAACTTACTGACTAAAGAGAAAAGATTTATTGTATACAAGACAGAATTGAAAGAACACCTACGTAAGGTTGTTGAGTAAGAACATAATACGGGTGTGGTAATAGTTGTGGCGGGGAGTCTGCTAAAAGCAGTCACTAATTGTCTTTCTTTACAACTGCTTCTGGATTACCAAGTGATTAAAGCAATGATAATTTCTTTGTTTATATATACAAAGACAAGTATACAATCAAGGGATAATATTTAATACTTACAAGTCTCGAAATAACACTAAATAAATACGGTATGGATTCAATGATATTTTAAACAAACATTCATAATTTATTGGGATTAATGATTGTGTAATGTCATTGTCACTTGTCAATGTAATAAATAGGTCATTGTCAATCAATTGATGACAGTGACCTTCAAAAACGGATCTTTCAATCTTTGATTACATATTTTGTCTTGACAAGTAGGTATATGTTATATACCTACTTGTCAAAATATGTTGTAGATACTTTATAATCAAAGCTAACTATAATACGGAAATAATTGAGAAACGCCAAATTCGCGGCAAGTTAATCTATTTTAACATAGTGGGCCTATGTTTAAAGATAGATATTAAATATCGATTTTATTTATAAAAATAATGTAATAAATATGTTATATACAATATACAGTATGAAGAAAATTTTAATTAAATCATTGCCACAATCACTAGTAGGTACTGACGTTTAGGTTTTAGTTAGGTCCTACTATACTGCAGGGATTATTGACCGCGCAAGCTTCAAGTCAACGCGATTTGTTTCACAAAAGTAGACATGCTCAAACTTTTCCCATACTATGCCGCTTTTTGGCCAATACGTTCACCGTTCACTATAAATATTTTTTAAAAGAAAATTAATTGAATATCGCAGAACACATTTTGTCTGTATCATTTAGATAATTTTAAGTTTGCTTTATGTAAGGTTATATCTACAAAATATAAATATAACAGGTATTAATAAAGACTGTATCTAATTAATTTATCAACTTTTAACTGTGATAGGGCCACGCAGCAGCCTCGGCTGTTGCACGAATGGGCACTCCGGGTAAGTACCACGACCTCACAGAGGACCGGCGTAAAGTGGAAGTGTAATACTTTCGCGTTTCATGTGGTGAGTGAGGTAGCCAGGGCCCAATTTTCAAAAGGTTGTCAACGCATCTGCAAAACGCGGGTGTAGCGGATGTCCATGGGCGGCGGTATTCACTTAACATCAGGTGAACCGCCTACTCGCTTGGCAACTTTTCACATAAAAAAATCATTAACTGGACTTTTCTGTATGCGAATTTCTTTGTGTTGTAATGTGTATTATAATTTCAACTATTTAATTATTAAGCAAGCAGGCGGATCAAACGAAGTCTTTATAAAGACAAGGCCAAAAACAATTTCCTTCATGAAGTAAGTAAACGTATTCGTCACCCTTACGGGATAGTCAAAATTACATAGTTCTCAATGAGCTAATTCTAAACGTCAATTTGGCACGTAGGGAAGACGAAAATCTGTGATTCAAACTTCTAGCTCTGAATTCTAAATCGAGTAGACATTTCAGCAATCGGCAAGCATCCTTTGACGTTACATGTATGAAAATTAGGTTTTTAAATTGAAAACACTCAGATGTTTTAAATTTCTACGTGTTACATCAAACATATCGCAATCTTGTCAATGAATATCAACGTATATAATATAAACGTAGTGATTACATTCTCTTTGATGAATATATGTAAAAAATATAAGAAGCGGTAATACGAAGATCAATAATGATTTTTTTAATATAAATGCAACAACGATAAATTAATCTATCTTTACAGATTTTATTGTATATAATTTAAAGTTAAATGTAGAAGACATCTATAAAAAATAATTCAATTAACTAAAACGTCTGCGCCCACTAAAGGTTATTTGGCGTTAACTGATGTATAACCACAAATAACAATAAACGCAGGTACATACCTACAATGCGAATCCATTTTATCTGTTCATATGATTTACTTAATAATTTACTGGAATACTGTATTCCAAAGCAAAAAGACCAGTTTTCCAATTTTTTTCCCAGAAGCCAAAGTCCTAAAAGTTATTAAAATTAATTTAATATATTTAGAAATTTCTTCCAAGGGCAAAATCCATTTTTGTCGACGGTACAATTTCTCAATTCCAACTGCACCCACTGTGGTGGATTACTGATCGAAAGTTTAGAAGCATTACGTATTTGATCGGTCGTTTGATATACATAGTCGATCTTTAATAACTCCCGACTGTTATCTTCATCAGACCATTTCTGAAAAACTATTTTACCGCCGGGCGGTGTGGCCTCATATTGATTTGGCAATATATAGTGTTTGAAACCTAAAGCTGCCATAATAGAGTTCAAGTTCGAATCGTGGCCGAATAGTACGGTCAATGGTCGCAGAGGGCCATTGAAAACACCCCTTATATATTTCAATAAAGGCTTAGCTACATCCCTAGCTAGGACGGAGCTGTTGAAACGAACGTTTTGATTTTCCCTTATGATTTTAGAGAGCAAAGTCCACTGCTCGTTATTGTGTATCTTACCCCAAGCGACATCTTTGTCGGGCATGCCTTCGTAATAACTCATAATAAATGAATCGAGGACACTATTGCTAATTGCTAGTGGTCCAACGACATTCGGCTCGCTTCCTACTACGTAAACGATTTCGTCTTTAGCGTCGGTTAGATCGCAGAACGATTCCGTCTCACAAATTTTGGAGTTTTTCAAATCGAGGATCTCGTTCAGTTGCAAATAAGCGTCCTGTAGTTGCAGTTCCATCAGTTTTCGCTCCATCTCAGCGATTATCTTGCGTTTCACCTCGTCGGAGGTGTCGCGCAGTATGGGGTTGAAAACGGGGTCCATTTCTGCCGAGTCGATGCTGTGAGCGCTGACGTTGCAGTTTCTGAACGCGCCCCTCACGAAAGCGTTCGCCGATTCGCGGGTGCGCTGTCTAGTGTTTGCGTAAACGAAAACGTTCTCGTCTGTCGGACAGCCGGGCGGTAGTAGCCCCCGCTTGTTCAGCCATTCGGCGAAATATCCACCCATGTACGTCTCCAACAAAGCTCCTTTGTCCGTCAAATGGCCGACTTCGTTTTTCCATATTGGAAATTTGAAAGGTGACGTGTCCTCGAGCTTCGCCGTCAAAGGCGTCCTAATGTTGTGCCGGCTTAAAACCAGCACCTGTTCTAGCTTCAGTCCACTTGATAATGCCACTGAAAATAAATTCAACAACACTCCAAACAATAACATTCCCATCATTATTACGAACGCTTCAAAATAGTAACAAATAATATTTTCTATTGAAAATCAGACAACTTTCAAATATCACAGTAAACTCATTTCAGATCGATGATTTGTTTCTTTATTGTGTAACGTTTATCGTCAACTATCAACCACGCTGTACTGTCAGACTCGCTTTACTGCTTTGCTAAATAGTACGAATATTTCATCATACTGGAAACCTATTAATAAACCTTATGGCTATCTATTACACCGTACTAAATTGATGAATTAAATATTAGCAGCAGAGTTAATTTTGTTTATTTTCGCTTTAAACAGACTCGTGGTTTTAACTTTCTAATTGGCTTTGTTTATAATTAAAAAATTACGCGCTTTTTTACGGATCAAGCCATATCGTCGATCGTAAGTCGGCTAGGATTAGCCGCCCTCAGGGTTAGTTGGTAATAAGGGGCTCCCGCACAGAAATGGGAAGATTACTTCATGTGGGGCCGAATTCGCGTCTCCATAAGATGTTACATAAAATCATAGCTTTATTTTAAGTAATTCTATTACAACAATTCGGCCTTCCGTTATTCGACCGCTAGACGTCTTATGTTTTCGTTTTGTAATGGACACATCTTACGCAACGGTGTCAACGGAGCTTTGGTTCATCGATAAGTGCTTGATTAGACATGTATTCCGCATTAAGATAAAGCAAATGTGATCGTGAAAACTAAAAAATACTTAGTTCGTTATCTCAATGCTTTGCATTGTAATTCTTCTCGTGTTCTAATTTTTTACCTCAAATCTTTCAACACATTGGACGGAGAGAAGCAGTCAAGAGAAGGAACAATGCCCTGTGTCGTTTCGTACTTTCTACACGTTTGCCCCATTAATTATTTTTGTAACGAACATTATCGCTGCACTTGTCATCATTATATTTTTATTAAATGAATAATAATAACTAGATCTACGGAGCTCACCAATCGAGGTCAGCCGGCGGTCACCACTCGCGCATGGTCAGCGCATGTTAATTATTGGCAAGGTGATTTCGAAAATGTATCAACGCTTATAAAATACTGGCCATTATAATTTTTTTTAAGATTAAGTCTGCACCTTATAGGGTACGTTTTACCGCAGTTAAACATCTCATTCCCACGGAGAGATCCAGTTGAATCACTCCATACTAAAAGTGACAACGTGTTGGTCATTTTACTTATCACGTTCTTAACAGAGCGTTTTATGGTATAATTTTTGTGTCTGGAGATATACATAGTCAGTTTCATTGTGAAAAGGTGATTAAAGAAAGCACAAAACGATACTGTAAACAAAACAAATTCATACATATTGAGTGTAGTAGCAAGGGATGACAGAGTATTTGTCAGTTTGTCAGTAGACACAGTTATTGACACAGAACAGGCCACTTGATATCCCGTAGAATTCCTAAACTAACTTGAACTGTCTGATGTATTCTCACATAAGCTCCAATTAAAATTAAGCATCCCAATCATGTTTATGCGAAATTTAGTTGATTCGATCAAGTGCGAGTCGGTCTCGCACCACAAAGGGTTCCGTACCGTTATCTACAAAAACGACAAAAGAATCGTGACTATTCTATGGGAGCCGTACTTTAATATTTTTTATTTTATTCTATTTTTTAGTATTTGTTGTCATAACGGATATAAAAATACATCATCTGTGAAAATTTCAACTGTCTAACTATCACGGTTGATTAATATCTACTTTTCATATAAAATAATAAAAAAGGAAAAAATATAAAGCCGATAATAAAAAGAAGGCAACGGCGTGGATGAAGTTCTTTGCTAGTGTTATTTTTGTAGGCGCATCGCTGTTTAGGTACAAACACCTAATGCATCACCGTCGCTTAAAGAGAGACACTGAAATGGAAGAGCTCAATGCAGTGTCGGCAAAGACTGATAGAGCGTCCTGCGCCACCTTCGCGAGCAACGGCATATGTAAAGGCAGGGCCACATCCCTCACAAACAGTAACCAAAGCACCCGTCGACGCAATCTTCCAGTTGCTACGCAGCTACCAATGCTACCATGGCTTTCAGAGATGTAGACTTCCCGGTGCGTTTCGTCAAACTGATACGAAAACTGCTATTGGTAATTTGAACTTTAATAAACTTTATTATTTTTAAATACTTAGGCACACCCGCTCTCGCGAGTTCAAGACTGGTTATGTCGGACTCGCGCCGACTAAATCCTCAACGATGTTCAACCTAGGGCACGTATTGGTAGGGCCACGAAAAGCACGCTTGAACATTCAGCGCGTCTACCTACCGCCCGTTTTGTACGGTCAACAAACACCCATTATCCAGATATAAATAATCTAATTTATTCGCATAAAACATGGTACATTATATAGTGGGGTCTAAATTTGTTACAAAAGCTCACATGTTTGCCAGATGCGGCATGCAAAAACTAATGTTTGAATAAACTACATAAATTTTAAATGATGGATCGAAACATCGCCGTCCGGCGCACGAGACACTATCGAATACGCCAAACGGGACAGCGAGTTGCTCCGCGGTAACACTGTACAACATCGTACTGCTAAGTACAAAAATCGTAGCAATACAAATCATGGCATATATTGAATAATTTCTTTATTCCACCAAATCTCATCAACAAGAAGTTGTTACGTAGGCGAACATGTTTTGACACTAAAAGGTCGAACAATAATGTGCCTGCCTATTCTTTGTTCAATAAGAGCAATACAACATACACAAGATTACTATTGATGAATTAATTGCAAACCAAAAGCAAAATTTTAAATAATAATTATTCAATGAGCTATAAGATTCTTTACACTCACACTTATCCTTAAAATGCACAAATATAAATATATGAAACAGGTAAAACAATTGGACACATCAAAAACTGTATTAAATTGGTAAATATTGACAATAAAAAATTTTACTTGGTATCCTTGAATTTTATTTATTGCAACATTTAACATTAATACAAATATAGCTGATGATTATATATTCCAATAATTACATTAACATGTACATGTTAATATGTAAAATATTTTTTATTGCGCGCGATAAATCCATTAGCCTCCATTTTGCGTCCATTCACTCCAATCAAATATATTTAAGAAATAGCTTTGGATAAAATAAAAAATCTACTGGAAGACCTCTTTAGTAATCTTGCAATAATTCTACCAAAAACTCATTAAAAGAATCTGTACCATTGGTACATTTGAAATAAATAATTAAAAGTAATGTATACATTGAACCTAGTTATGCAAAGGGCTTGTCCTGGCTGATATGACAAGTGACAAACACATTCTGGTGTGTCAATTATGTATGTTGCCAAATTAAGGCTACAGTTTATGTTGTGGCTTTGTCCAGCTGAGCCAATTGATGCGCCAACCTTTCCTCCCTTGCCCGCCTCGCTTGCCCTAAAGCTCTTTTCTCAGCAAACTTTGCTATGAAACTTTCCACTGGTATATTGCCTAGAAGATATTTAAAAACAATCAGAATGTGAATATGGAACTTATTTATAATGCCAATCTTAAAGGAGCCCCAGAACCTATCCTATATTTTATATTTACATGTATTTTTATTTATTTTTCTAGATATTATTTCATGCATTTGATCATGTTTAGTTTATTGTAAAAAAAAAGAATTAGTTTTCAAGACTGGTAGCATTAAAAACAACAAGTGTTGTATGAACCAGGTATCTTGTACTAATCTTATAAAAATCATAACATACTATTCAATCAAAACAACAGACAAAACCTGGGTTCGATTCCCACAGTGCTGAAAACTCTTCATCCTTTTTTCTATAAATTTTAATGTTTCATCTTAAATGGAGGGATTAGCATCATAAAAATTTAAATTTCATATAGCAATAGCTATATCTCTCGTTCGAGTTATTATTGTAAAACAATATTTGAAATTTTTTATATGCTGAAAAGTGTGAAAAAACAATGTAGATAAACAACATATTTTCATTGTTGTGGCAATCAACCCTGTAGCTTAGCGTATAAGCATCTGAATGTGAACTCAGAAGACATGGGTTCAACTCCCACAGTTGCAAAAAACTTTTCGTCCTATTTCTATAACATAACAATATAGTCATTAAAAAGTCTTGTATAAGCAACTCTGGGTTACAGGAGGCCTCTGTAGTGCAGTTGCCAAATTATTGTCTTTGGCGCCAGGAGTCTTGGATTCAATTCCCACACTAGACAATTATTTGCATGACCCATGGATAATTTTATGGTGTTTGTCACATGAAATTTATATATGTAAAATTTCATTATAGGATAATGTTAAAAGGGGGCAATGGTTTTGAAGGGAAGGCTACAATAGATCTTGTAGGTAGCAGTGGTCATTGGGACTTACTACGAAACCCCTTGCATACAAAATACTATACAACTTTAGATGTAAAAATCTATGTTACCCAATAAAAACTGCTCTGCAATGACCTCAGCATCCTCATCCGCTTTTAATGCAGATTCTTTCAAACAATCCCTGATCCTATGTGGGTCATACATTTCTGCCAGCTTTTGATGTTTTTTGTTAAGCTCCTCATAATTCATCTTCATTTGTACTATTGTAGAGATTCGGTCTATCACTTCGGTTTTTAGATCATCAAGCATCTGCTGTTTAGCAATATTATCTTGAGCAATCTCTTCTATGCTGTTCATAAGTTCCTCTGTTTCTAAGTCGAGTTCAATAAGTTGTGGATTAGTCTCAATGAGTTTGTCCTGAAAATGCAGCAAAATTTTATTAATTTTTATCAACCTCAAGTCTTTTATAAACGCTAACAGAGAATCTTTAAGAAATATATCATTTGTCTTGAGCCAGAAAGAATTTTAAACAAAAAATTTAAACACTGCCTGCCAACATTTTCATCATCATCAAAAATTCTTGATAACTTCATATATAAGTTGCCTTGACCGAAGAGAATATTATATTTGTTTCTCATATACTTTTATTTGATATTTTATGACTAGGCCAGTCAGTATGTATAAAAATACAATTTTTTTTTCTATAGTTACTATATTTGAAAGGCCCTACCCAACTGTGGTACTATATTTGAAAGTACAGAATACCTGCAAATCGGGATTCTCAAGGATCTCTTGAAGCTCATCTATGCTCAGTTCACTTAAATCAGGAAACATTAATGACTGAGAGCTTAAATTCGACTGTGGACTGGAATCTGTTGATTTATCTTCATGACTTGTCATGGGAATGGATCTTTGGAACTCTCTTATGATTGCTTGAACCACACGCCCTGAAATTTATTTAGTAATCAGAAATTATTCATGATATGTTAAAATGTTTCCTGATGAGCTAATAATAAATAGTATTATTCTAAATTATAATTAAAATTACTAATTATGAGTTTATGTCTTTGTTCACTTGAAAAACATTGCAAAATCTCAATATATCAATGGGAATAAAAACATTAACAAAAATATACAAGAAAATTGTCTTAAATTTTATTTTATGAGCTGGATTTATATATGATACTTTTTAAACAAAAGTATTCAATTTTATAAGAAATGAATAGTCTATTTCAAAATAACTTGCGATCACGGACATGAGGAAATTCTTAGAGAATAGGATCGTTTTTTACGTTAGTTACCCAAGTCTGAGTGTGGTGTGAAATTTATCAGTCCTGGAGCCCCCACTACTTGATTCGTATTTTCAGCAATCCATGGATGCGTAAACACAGGATTGACGAAAATCGCAGGCTTTTCGTTTGGAAACTCAGGGCCCAAAACGATGTTCAAACTCATATTCTTTCCTTCACTAGAAAACTCAACTCTGTACTCAGCATTTTCTTTAATCTCTGTTACGTTAGCATTAAAAACTTTTAACGTGTCAATTTGACGCTTTCTTACGTCTTGTTCTGTGTAGAAAGGTCGTGGAAGCATAATTCAGCGCTGAAATTTAAGAATAATATTTCTAATCTAAAGCAGTTTATATGAACGACGGTTACAAAATATAACGGTTTATTTTATATGTTATATATATAATTTTTTACTGACTAATATTACCTGTACTTATGCTGACAAATGCTAAACAATTTTCCTAATAACGGATCTATATTAATATTCTTTTCATAAAATTTTATCACAAAACAAAATTCAAATCAATAACATCAGTATGTTTACTTAACATAAAAAAACGTATTTTCTTAAATGCTCCGTTTCCAATAGGCTTAAAAATAAAATTTTATCAATGATTAGTTAAATCGGCCAATAGCGTATAAAAGGTATATTTGCAATTTGTAAATGAGAACAAAATGTTAAGATCTGTCAAAGTTCTATAGAGAAAGAAAATATATACAGTTTCGTTTTAAAATAAGAGGACTTCAATCATTTTATAACACAATTGTATTCGTAAGAAATTTAAAATCATTTAGAAGTTTAGTTGCTTGATAACTCTTAAAATATTACATTTCTTACTTTGAAGATTATATTCCTTTATTATATTTATTATGGTATTTGTCCAATTTAAGAAAAATATAATAAATGATTTAATGATATAGTCGTATAGTAGTCGCTGTAGACGTTAAAGATTCGAACACTTTACTTTAATTTAAACTTACTTTATTTTATTGCGTGTTTTTGTATCTATATCTATAAAAAAATTTGATTCCATATGTTTGTGTCCAAAATACTTAAAATCTAGCTAATTACAGAAGAATGTTTTTATATTCTTATTTTATCGAAGTAACAAATTTCTGAAGAAAAATGCTCGGATCCGTTCCACTAAAGGCCTATTGCCCTCCCCTTTTTGTTCTCTAAAATAATGGAGTCGATTATTAACTTCCCGCTCCTTGGGTACCTTGAGAACCTAGCTTTTCAGCCAGCAGGTATACTTTATCGCCACTAGCGTCCCCTAGCACTTTAAGGATTCGGTCTCCTGTTCGTTTCTACATTTCTTCTACTCCTTTTACTTTCACTACTACTTCCCACTGCTCACTATATTTTAACGTCGTGATCAAGAGCATATGCTGTTATCGGTCATTTTTTCTTCGAAGTTGTATCTAGGTCTCAACTTAATGTCAATCGATCAATATTGATTATTGCTTCCAACGTGACGTCACTACCTATAATGGGAAAGGGAAACATTTAATGGATGAGTAGTTCGAGGGTCCTCGTCACACGTGCTCTAACATCAATTGTTTACAGAGATCATGCGATATTTCTGTTGAAATTAGAAGGACTTTTTCTTAGAAATTAGTTTAAAGTATTTTCCGAGTGATACGGCCTCTGTAAGCTGTTGCACGAATGGTCCGTCCGAGGAAGTACCACGACCTTACAGAAGACCGGAGTGAAGTAGAAGTGTTACACTTCTGCGATTCATCCGGCGAGTGAGATAACCGGGGCCCACATTATTTAAAGTTGATGCGTTGCACCCTAATGGGCCACGCCAGTCCACGAGGGCAAGTACCCACGACCTTATAGAAGACCGGAGTGAAGTAGAAGTGTTACATTTCTGCAATTCATCCGGTGAGTGAGATAACCGGGGCCCACATTATTTAAAGATTCGGCATCAATATCAACGGCGAATACATCACTCACCTTCGTTTTGACGACAATATAGTCATTATGGCAGAGTCGCTGGAGGACCTTAACACTGACTATGCTCAGCGACTTTAGTAACGTTTCCCAACAGGTGGGTTTTGAAATGAACATGGGCAAGACGAAAATAGTCATGTCAAAGAGCCCATGTCGCACCCATAACACGGTTATGTCAGGGAACGAAAGTAACACTCGAGTGGGTTTTGTCGACCAGTATGTCTACCTCGAACAAACTCGATGAACCAACTCGGATGGGCAGCGTTCAGGAAGCTACCCGATATTTTTTCGTCCAAGATTTCGCAGTGCCTGAAGACAAGGGTTTATAACCAGTGTGTGTTAGCAGCAATGACATATGGCAGTGAGACGTGGTCTCTCAAAGTTGGCCTTTTGGAGAAGCTCAGAGTCGCACAACGAGCTATGCTCGGAGTTTCTTTGCGCAACAAAATCTGGAACGAGGAAATTCGCTGTAGAACCAGTGTCACCGACATAGCTCTCCGAATCTGCAAGTTGAAGTGGCAGTGGGCAGACCACATCGCTCGAAGACTTGATGACCGACGGGGAGTAAAGGTTCTCGAGTGGCGACCACGAACCGGAAGACGTAGCGTTGGAAGACCTCCCTCTAGGTGGACCGACGACATCATAAGAGTCGCGGGCAACCGGTGGATGCAAATGGTAAAGTGACGTTGTGGCTTTCAAAGGGGGAGGCCTATGTTCAGCAGTGGGCGTCTTGCGTGTGATGATGATGATAATGACTATCATCGAATTTTCTTTAAGATAAAAATAAAAGAGGAATACAGCACTTTCACTTAGGACTGGTTGTTTTAGTTCATTTAGAAGTTCCAGCGTTGTTAATGAAAAGCCCTGTACTTTATATACATTTTAAATATACAGTTACATTCGATTATGTACGACTACAAAAATGATTCTGCCAAGCCCAATCTTTTGAAGGGAATCACGGGAATTGTAAATGTCAATGGGGGACGGTTATCACATAACATCGAGTGAAGCATCCTGCTCGCAAACATTAAAATATGCGTAAATTCGGAAAGTAAGAAAAGTTTCAAAGTTTTTTATCAACTTACTGTCCTTCACAGACAGAGACCATTTCTCTCTAAAAGACAGGGTATGTTTTTGCAACCTCTCTGATGTTGGTCACTTACCATCCGGTCATCCACGTGCTCGTTTATCTCGTCTGCAAAAAGCATACGAATTCGAATCCATATTTCTTATGGACGGCTAAGTGCTTTGACCTTTATGCCGAGAGCGTCTTTGGGCATTCAATTACGTGTATGCACACGTAAAACCTTACTAAGCATTGCGTGCCACAACGGTTGACCGAGCTCACGCAACCTCATGATATTGGCATTAAATTCGCAGTTGGCACGGTGAAATTGGCTCTGAATCGCGGAACTGTACGTGCCTGGGACGTTTAAAAAACACAAACCAATCACCTACGCCAGTATTTCTGCTTACCTATACGTAAAAAGTTTTTATATGACAGAAATGTGAAGAAAATAATTAGAAACTTTCCCATACAAAAGAGGTGTATTCGATTAATATTTCAAACGTATCAAGTTGCGACTCATAAGGAAATTAATATCAAGCATTCAAGCATTTCTCCCCAGTCAAACCGGGTCGTGGTGAGAAATCGTAAGTGCAATACAGTAATACTTTGGTAGGGCCAGGTAAACGTATTCTGTGTTGCACGAATGGGCAGGTCTATTCGTAAATACCACAACCTCACAGAAAACCGGCATCTCTCCTCAATCTCACAGAAGTGTAAGTGTTATACTTCCGCGTTTCGTCTGGTGAGTGAGATAGCCGGGGCTCATTTTATTAAAACGTGGCAAAGCCTTCGGGTGTTACACATGTCAATGGACGGCGGTTATCAATTAACATCAGGTGAACCACCAGCTCGTTTGCCACCTTCTCACATAAAAAAATATTTATATGTATTGACTATCTATATACGTATATAAATATACAGGGAGACTTTTGGTGCCAGGTGCCCAAATTTACACAGGAGGTTCAGACTCAGTAGTATCTTGTATCTTGTATTAACTGATGTTTTTGCTTTCAGTCCCGAGACTATTAAAGCTTCATCTGACGCAGAACCGTTGGGCTAGCCAGAACCCACGGGTTTGGGCCCTCCGCTGTGGGTAGAGCCGCGCATGTGCTCATGCGTGCGTTTAACTATGACATGTCATCTAAGGGCCATCGAAGTTGCGGTGCGGACCGAGACCCCGATGGCCGTCGACTGTGCTTTTAGCTAATCGGTGGCTGGCGGCGGTGAGAACCGCCCTGGAACGCGGGTGTACCTTGTGTACGCGTTGTGTTGGTCTCGCCGTGCTCGGAGGCGAGGGCGAACTATTGTGTTTGTTACACTAGCTGTGGGTGTAGTGTTATCCGGCGGGACCCCCGGCTGTGGGACCGGCGTATCTAAGTCCCCTTCCTCGACCGGGTCGATGAGGACGTTTCGCGGGCGACGTTTGTTGACGTTCGCGTTTGTGTCGGGTTGGTAATTTGCTGCGCTTACCACCAGAGGGTTGGGATGATGTTCGGCTCTATCGTAGAACCGTTTGGTCAGGTCTATAAAATATTCGCGAATCGTCGGGAGTCTGCAATCGCTGTGTAGATCGACGTTGCACTCAGTAGTATAATCGTTTATTGAAATAAAAACAAACTTTTTTTCCTAAAAAAACAGAACTTTTTGACAACGCGGTAGTTATTCATAAATACCTAAATTTTACTGTTCACGTGTGTGCGTGTAAGTTATGAATGATCGCGCGTAAAGTAAAGGAGTTGCGTATAAATCACGAAGTTTTTGAGATAAGTTCAAATGAATGTAATGTAATTATTTACGAGTCATTTAAAATATTTATCATTTTTATATAACATTATTTATGTCTAGAATTATTAATAAAAAAATGGATACACTTAGAAAAGCCTCCCTGTATAATAAGTATTTAAACACACACATGTAAATCAGCTAGTATGTGTAGGTAGAGTACTTGACGTCAGATTTACGGATAATCAAAACCTGTTTGGAAGTTACATTCAAGAAAGAATGAGAATATTTGCCGAATGAATACAAAGACTGATCTCTGGATTAGCATTTCGTGAAGATAATGATTTTGTTTCTTAATATAACGGTAATTATTTGGTAATTTTAGAGGTTTTTTCCGATTAAGTCACGTTTCTCGTGT